ACTGGTACAACGACAGATACATTGACCAATAGAACAGAATTGAGAACACAGATGTAAATCCATCCACCTACGGTCACCTGATCTTCGACAAGGGCCCAAACTCCATCAAATGGGGAAAAGACAGTCTTTTTAACAAATGGTGCTGGCAAAACTGGATGTCCATCTGCAAAAAAAATGAAACAGGACCCATACCTGACACCATAAACAAAAACCAGTTCAAAATGGATCAAAGACCTAAATACAAAGCCAAAGACTAAAGCTCACAGAAGAAACAATAGGATCAACGCTACAGGCCCTAATACACGGCATTAACAGTATACAAACCATAACCATCAACACACAAACTCCAGAAGATAAGATAGATAACTGGGATCTTCTAAAAATCAAACACTTATGCTCATCAAAATACTTCATCAAAGGAGCAAAAAGAGAACCTACAGACTGGGAAAAAATTTTTGGACATTACAAGTCAGACAAAGGCCTAATCTCTATAATCTGCAAGAAAATCCAACACTTCTACAACAAAAAGACAAATAATCCAATTAAAAATTGGGCAAAGGAAATGAACAGACACTTCACCAAAGAAGACATTCAAGCGGCCAACAGACACATAAGGAAATGCTCGTGATCACTAGCCATTAGAGAAATGCAAATTAAAACCACAATGAGATACCATTTCACCCCGGCATTACTGGCACGAACAAAAAAAACTGGAAATAACAAATGTTGGAGAGGCTGCGGGGAGATTAGAACTCTTATGCACTGCTGGTGGGAATGCAAAATGATACAACCATTTTGGAAAATGACATGGCACTTCCTCAGAAAGCTAGAAATAGAAATACCATATGATCCAGCAATCCCATTCATGGGAATATATCCTAGAGAAATAAGGGCCGTCACACGAACAGACATATGCACACAAATGTTCACTGCAGCATTGTTCACAATAGCAAAAAGATGGAAACGACCTAGATGCCCATCAACAGATGAATAGATTAAAAAACTATGGTACATACACACAATGGAGTATTATGCAACAATAAAGAACAATGATGAATCTGTGAAGCATCTCAGAACATGGATGAAACTGGAGGATATTACGCTGAGTGAAATAAGTCAATCACAAAAGAACAAATATTGTATGAGACCTCTATTGTAAAAACTCATGAAAAAGTTTACACACAGAGAAACAATCTTTGCTGGTTATGAGGGATGGAAGGGGTGCGGGAGGGGAAATACTAAACAGACAATAGGTAAGTGGTAACTTTGGTGAAGGGTAAGACAGTACACAATACTGGGGAAGCCAGCAGAACTAGTATAAGGAAAGGTTATGGAAGCTCCATAGACACATCCAAACTCCCTGATGGACTGAACTGCTGGGTGAAGGGCTGTGGGGACCATGGTCTTGGGGAACATCTAGCTCAACTGGTATAACACACTTTATAATGTTCTACATTCTACCTTGGTGAGTAGCGTCTGGGGTCTTAAAAGCCTGTGAGCAGGAATCTAAGATACTCCACTGGTCTCACCCCTTCAGCAGCAAGAGAGAATGAAGAAAACAAGAAACAACAGAAAGATTAGTCTTAAGGACTAATGGACCACAACTACCATGGCCTCTCTCCACCAGCTTGAGTCCAGTGAAACTAGATAGTGCCCGGCTACACCACTGACTGCTCTGACTGGGATCACAACAGAGGGTCCTGGGATATAGAGAAAAATGTAGAACAAAATTCTAACTCACAAAAAAAAAAGACCAGACTTACTAGCCTTACAGAGACTGGAGAAATACTGAGAGCATGGCCCCCGGACACCCTTTTAGCACAGTAATGAAGTCACTCCCAAGGTTCACCCTTCAGCCAAAGATTAGACAGCCCCATAAAACAAAACGAGACTAATGGGGCGCAACAGCCCAGGGACAAGGACTGGAAGGCAGGAGGGGATAGGAAAGCTGGTAATGGGGAACCCAAGGTTGAGAAGAGACAGGGTTGACATGTTGTGGGGTTGCTAACCATTGTCATAAAACAATATGTGTGTATATTATTTAATGAGAAACTATTCTGTAAACCTTCATCTAAAGTACAATAAAAAAAAAAATTTTGAAAAAAAAGAGTCTATGGCTTTCTCCATGATATAATTTTTCAAAACAACACTATGGGAGAGGAAAGGAGAAGGGTGACTAAGTCCCTGCATCAATTAGCAACCATTGCCAAGATGTTCCAGGTAAAGGGAACGCCAAGTGCAAAGATCCTAAGGTGGGAAAGACTTTGGTGTACTAGAGAACCTAAAGGCACCCAGGGTGACTGCAGCAGAGTGAATGAAAAGGAAATAGACATGAAGGGGACTAGACCTCACAGGGTCTGGAAGTTATGGTAGGAATTGGATTTTATTTGAAAAACAATGGGAAACCAATGAACTTTTAAGTAAGGGAATGATATGATCTAATTTACAGTTTTAAAATATCATTCTGACTGTTGTATGGCAAGTGACCTAAGGAAGAAAGTGATGAAATGAGGAAAAGAAAGAAACAAGGCAGGAAAGCAGTTGAGAGGTTGTTGCAGTGATCACTGTAAGTGACAATGGTGGCTGTACCCTGAACAGAGAGGAATAATGGCAGGATGTGGGAAGTAAGGGAACTGGAAGAACTAAGCATGACTTTCAGGTATCAGGCTTGAGTAATTGGGTAGATAGGGTGCCATCTGCTTAAAATGGGGAAAATTTGTGAAGGAAAAGAGTTGGGAAGATCCAGAGTTTTACAATAAAAATGACAAACTAGAGATGCTTACTTAAATGAAAATGCCAAGTAGGCTGCTGAATTTACAAGTCAGAGGAAAGATCTGGGCTAGATACAGAAAACTAACAGTTCTCAGACTTTAGATGATAATTCAAAGCTGTGGTATGGGAATGACTGAGATCACCTGGGCAGAGCTTAGAACAAGTGCCTGGAGGTGAACCATAAGGAGCTCCAAAGCTTTAAAATTTGGAGGGGGAAGAGCCAGCAGCAAATTTCTGAGTGGCCTGGTGAGGTACAAACAAAAAACAGGAGAGAAGGTAGAAGGTAGAAGCCAAGACAGAAGAATTTCAAGGAGGGAGAAGTCAATTTTGTCCAATGCAGCTAAGGGGTGAAGTAATGTGAAAACAAAAAAGGGTCCATTAGATTTGGCCACAAGATCACTAAAGACCTTGACAAGAGGTATTTAAGTGTAGAAATATGAGTGGAAGCCCTATTGGAGTTAGGAATAATGGAAGGGGAGAAGAAGGAGAAACCATGTGTAGCCTAGCTATAAAGGGGAATAAAATATTACTCTCAGCAATATGTTGTTGTTGTTAGGTGCCATTGAGTCAGTTCCAACTCACAGTGACCCGACATACAACAGCACAAAACACTACCCGGTCCTACGCCATCCTCACAGTCGTTGTTATGTTTGAGCCCACTGTTGCAGCCACTGTATCAATCCATCTCATCGAAGTTCTTCCTCTTTTACACCGACCCTCTACCAACCGTGATGTCCTTCCCCAGGGACATGATAACATGTCCAAAGTACATGAGACGAAGTCTCACCATCCTCGCTTCTAAGGAGCATTCTGGCTGTACTTTTTCCAAGACAGATTTGTTCGTTCTTTTGGCAGTCCATGGTATATTCAGTATTTTCACCAACACCATAATTCAAAGGCATCAATTATTCTTCAGTCTTTCTTATTCATTGTCCAACTTTCACATGCATATGAGGTGATTGAAAATACTGTGGCTTGGGTCAGGTGTACCTTAGTTCTCAGAGACATCTATGCCTTTAACACTTTAAAGAGGTCTTTTGTAGCAGATTTGCCCAATGCAATACATCTTTTTATTTCTTGACCACTGCTTCCATGGGCGTAGACTGTGGATCCAAGTAAAATGACATCCTTGATAACTTCAATGCTTTCAGTATGATTCCACAGACAACTAATTTAAGGCACTATATATGAACCAAGAACATTTCAAGATCTATCCTGAAGTACAACACTGTCAGTGATAGGATAATATCAATACACCGACAAGGAAGACCAGTTAATACAACTATTATTCAAATTTACGCACCAACCACTAAGGCCAAATATGAAAAAACTGAAGATTTTTACCAACTTCTGCAGTCTGAAACTGCTCAAACGTGCAATCAGGATGCACTGATAATTACTGGCAACTGGAATGCGAAAGTTGGAAACAAAGGACTGATAGTTAGAAAATATGGCCTTGGTGATAGAAACGACACCAGAGATTACATGATAGAATTTTGCAAGACCAAAAACTTCTGCATCGCAAATACCTTTTTTCAACAACATAAATGGCAACTATACATGTGGACCTCGCCAGATGGAATACACAAGGAATCAAATTGACTACATCTGTGGAAAGAGATGATGGAAAAGCTCAACATCATCAGTCAGAACAAGGCCAGGGGCTGACTTCAGAGCAGACCATCAATTGCTCATATGGTCAAGTTAAAGCTGAAGAAAATTAGAATAAGTCCATGAGAGCCAAAGTACAACCTTGAGTGTATCCCATTTGAACTTTAGAGGGAGCCCTGAGACCATCTCAAGAATAGATTTGATGCATTGAACACTAATGACCAAAGATCAGACAAGTTGTGGAATGACATCAAGACATCATACATGAAGAAAGCAAAAGGTCATTAAAAAGACAGGAAAGAAAGAAAAGACCAAAATGGATGTCAGAAGAGACCCTGAAAGTTGCTCTTGAACATAGAGTAGCTAAAGTGAACAGAAGAAATGATGAAGTAAAAGAGTAAATAGAAGACTTCAAAGGGCAACTCGAGAAGACAAAGTAAAGTATTATAATGAAATGTGCAAACACCTGGAGTTAGAAAACCAAAAAGGAAGAACACGCTCAGCGTTTCTCAAGCTGATAAAACTGAAGAAAAAATTCAATATAAACACACTTTATATTAAACACACTGATGGTTAAGTATGATTCCATGGGCAACTAATTTAAGAAAAAATTCAAGCCTCAATCCTCAAGTGAAGGATTCTATGGGCAAAATACTGAACGACACAGGAAGTTATAAAAGATGGAAGTAATATACAGTCATTGTATCAAAAAGAATTGGTTGACATTCAATCATTTCAGGAGGTAGCATATGATCAAGAACTGATGGCACTGAAGGAAGAAGTCCAAGATGCACTGAAGACATTAGCGAAAAATAAGGCTCCAGGAATTAACAGACTACTAATTGAGATATTTCAACCAATGGATACAGCGCTGGAAGTGCTCACTCATCTATGCCAAGAAATTTCCAAGACAGATATCTGGCCAACCTACTGGAAGAGATGCATATTTATGCCTATTCCCAAGAAAGGTGATCCAACCAAATGTGGAAATTATCCAACAATATCATTAATATCACACACATGTAAAATTTTGCTAAAGATCATTCAAAAACGGTTGTAGCAGTACATAGACAGGGAACTGCCAGAAATTCAAGCTGGATTCAGAAGAGGACATGGAACGAGAGATATCATTGCTGATGTCAGATGGATCATGGCTGAAAGCACAGAATACCAGAAAGACATGTACCTGTGTTTTATTGACTATGCAAAGGCATTTGACTGTGTGGATCATAAAAAATTATGGATAACATTGTGAAGAATGGGAATTCCACGACACTTAATTGTGCTCATGAGGAACCTGTACATAGATCAAGAGGCAGTCGTTCTAACAGAACAAGGAAATACTTCGTGGTTTAAAGTCAGGAAAGGTGTGTGTCAGGGTTGTATCCTTTCACCATACTTCTTCAATCTGTATGCTGAGCAAATAATCCGAGAAGCTGGCCTATATGAAGATGAACGAGGCATCAGGATTGGAGGAAGACTCATTAACAACCTGTTAGGCAGATGACACAACCTTGCTTGCTGAAAGTGAAGAGGACTTGAAGCACTTACTGATGAACATCAAAGACTACAGTCTTCAGTATGGATTACACCTCAACATAAAGAAAACAAAAATCCTCACAACTTGACAAACAAGCAACATCACGATAAATGGAGAAAATACTGACGTTGTCAAGGATTTCATTTTATTTGGATCCACAATCAGCAGTCAAGAAATCAAACAGTGCATTGCATTGGGAAAATCTGCTGCAAAAGACCTCTTTAAAGCGTTAAAAATCAAAGATGTCAGTTTAAGGACTAAGACGCACCTGACCCAAGCCATGGTGTTTTCTATCACCTCATATGCATGCGAAAGCTGGGCAATAAATAAGAATGAGGAAGAACTGATGCGTTTGAATTATAGTGTTGGCGAAGAATATTGAATATACCATGTACTACCAAAAGAATGAATAAATTTGTCTTGGAAGAAGTACAGCCAGAATGCTCCTTAGAAGCCAAGGATGGCGAGACTTTGTCTCACAAACTTTGGACATGTTATAAGGAGGGATCAGTCCCTGGAGAAGGACATCATGCTTGGTAATGTAGACGGTCAGCAAAAAAGAGGAAGACCCTCAATGAGATGGATAGACACAGCAGCTGCAACAATTGGCTCAAACATAACAATGATCATGAGGAAGGCACAGGACTGGGCAGTGTTTCGTTCTGTTGTACATAGAGTCGCTATGAGTAGGAATCGACTCGATGGCACCTAACAACAACAATATATGAGCCATGTTAAGCATGGCAGACTAAATAATAGAGTTGACATTTATGTACAACTCTAATTTTATCATCAGAAGGTCACTACAATTTGGTTATTTCTCCAAAATCATTTATTGATCCAAAACATAAATTTCTCCCAGACTCCTAAGAAGGATGTATTTTCCTGACTTACAATCTATTTGTATGGCTCAGATTTCTTTTGCTTTTCTCCAAAATACCTTTCCTTTAGACCACCCCATTTTCTCTAACATCCTCTGGCCGAACTTGGAATCATCATTACTCCATGCAGTGTTTCTTGGATCCACAGCCCACTTCTGCTTCTGCCGACCTATAAATGAAAAAAGTATCTCATCAGTAATTTATCCTTCAAATTTGGAAATATATACAAGTATAAATACATAATATCTACATTAAACCTTATTAACTAGTATTCTATATGTGAGGCTGGTTATTAGTGTGTGCCCAGAGTTCATGTCTGTAGACAGCAGTGCTTGGCTATGGTCTTTCACACTTTAAAGAGGTCTTTTGCAGCAGATTTGCCCAACGCAATAAGTCGTTTGATCTGACTGCTGCTTCCATGGGCATTGACTGTGGATCCAAGTAGAATGAAAATCTTGACATCAATATTTTCAATATATAAACACACTTTATATTAAACACATTGATGGTTAAGTATGATTCCATAGGCAACTACTTTAAGGCATGATATAAGATATTTTTGAGAATGACTTCTCTGCAATAAGAACTGCATACAGTTTAGATTACATATTTATGTTCAATAGACTATAATGCTTACACAAGAGATTGGATATCCAAAGTCAGTACTTCTTCCCCAGTAAAATGGCAGGTATTCTTCTCAACCAATGTGGCTAGAGCAATTTTTCCCAAATGAGGATGTAAAAAAAAAAAAAAAAAAAAAAAGGAGGGGGGACTCCCATTAAAATAAAAACGAGTAACATTGGATTAAACAAAATTTAACAGTGCTCCATATGGAAGGATTCCCCAGAATCTTTAATATGCAAATGTGAATATGATCTTATGATCTTAGAGGAGGGCAGAGTAGGCATGCTGTGTTTCCCAAACTTATGTGACCAGAGTCCTATTTCCCTGGAATATTTCCTGGCTCTAGTGTAGAAATTTCCAGATTTGGGAAATTCTGTCAAGGAAAACAGACTGTCTATGGTCTGTTCAGATTGGATCATCTTTTATATGTCCGTTGTTATTCTTATTCCACAGTCTGTTCTGTGCTTACATGTCAGGTCGGTTAATACCTGTGAACAGAAAAGAGCTAACATAGCAAGCCTGATTGCTAGCCTTTGAAAGCGCTGCTTACAAGGTTGGCTCTTGGCTGGTCTCTGTTATCTTGGATTTTGGGAGGGTTCCCACCATTGCCAGACTAATAAGAGTGGCTCACTATGACTGTACAAACAGTATGGTTTATGCTGAACACCTGCTTTTCTTCTAGAAGTCTGGAATCTTGGTACGTGCTAAGCAGAAGTTGCCTACATGATCAGCTTCCAATAAAAGCCCTGGGCACTGAGTCTGTAATGAGCTTCCCTGGTTGGCAACATTTCACACATGTTGTCACAACTGAATGCTGGGAGAATTTAGCATGTTCTGGGTGACTCTATGGTACCTGGGTGGCACAAATGGTTTGCATTCGACTGCTAACCTAAAAGTTGGCAGTTTGAACCCATCCAGCAGTACTGTGGAAGAAAGGCCTGGTGATTTGCTTCCTTAAAGATTACAACCAAGAAAATCCTATGGAGAAGTTCTGTAACTGCTATGGACTCTGTAACACATGGGGTCGCTATGAGTCAGACTCTACTTGACTCCACTAGAAGAGAAGCCTAGTAGCTTGTACCTGGTTTCCCCTTGCCCCATGAGCCTTTTCCCTTTATTGATTCGCTCTGCATTCTTTCACTTTATACATCTTAGCCGTGAGTCCTATGAGTCCTCCTAGCAAATCACTGAACCTGGGGTGGTCCTGGGAATCCCTAACATAACCTGGAACAGTAGTATAAGGGATAGTGCTGGGTCTCAGGGTAGAGTGCCCTGAATCTGCACAATTTCCATTTGGGATGATGCATTCAACCATCCTCTAGCAGGATGTCTCTTCCCACTGGAGATATAACTGTAAATGGCTCTCCTGTCAGGATCCTTCTAGGGTAACTCCAATAAACTATCCTCCAGACAGCAGCTACAATGGACTTCACTTTTCAGTCACTTCATGCATAACACCACATGGGGTATGCCAGGAGTCAGCTTATTCTGCAGGGTGTATTGAGTCCCAAGAGCTAGGGACAGAGTTTTATCCTTTTTTAATTCAGACACTTTCAGACATTCAAGAGCTCAAGATATACCACTATGTATTCTTATTAAAAAATTATTCAAGACATTCAACACTGAAGAACCTGTAGTATAAAATGCTAATGCAATGAGCATTAAAATCCATTAACTATAGTGTTGTGATTTGGTTACAAAATGTAATAACTTCAAGTATCAAAAACTGGTCTTGAAAAGGAAAGACTCTATGAAAAAATTAATATCTTAATAACAATCTGGTCTAAAATTCCAAACTATATAAAGACTGGAAAGTGAGGATGACAGATAAAATTCTTGCCTTACACAGGGGGAGGTTTTTGCAAGCTAAATTTCTTATCTTACATAGGGGAAACTCAATAAAATAACATTAAATAATTAGAGAAATTAGGATAAAGAATGTTTTTGAAAAACATAAACAAAACCACTAGTAGATTAAAAAATAGGATATGTGCCTGTGGTGAAGGTTAAACAAAATAAACACATAGTCCAAACGGCAAGGGAACACAAAGAAAATAGCATAACAATGTGAAAATGTGCACTATCTGATGTCAAATAGGAAAAAAAGCAGGGCACAAAACTGTACCTACAGAATGATGCCAATTTTATGAACTTTCAGAGAAGAATAATTGTTGAGTAGTGGGGTTGCCATTAGTCAGAATCGACTAGACAGCAACTAACAACAACAGTGAAATTAAGGATTACTTCCTGGGACTTTTCTATGCTTCTATTCTCTTATCTCTAAAGTAAGAACAACCTTAAATATCTAATGACAGGGGATGCCTTAAACATAATTTAGAAAATTATTTAAAAAACAACACAAAATATTATATATTGTCGTGACAAAGCTTACAAAATTTGTAGTAGTACTGTAATGGTGAAAAAGGGAGAAGTGAAATCATGAAATCATGATTTTGGATTACTGATGTCTACAAATAGTGTTTTACACCTGTATACCATTTCATACTTTTAAAACTATTTTCACATTTACCACCTCGTTGATTTTTTTTTATGTCAACCTAGTGATGAACAGAATAAGAGATGTTTTTAATACTCTCCACAGAAATTGATCATGGAAACAAACCAAAATGAATAGCAGAGCCAGGGTCAATGTTACCAGGTACATGTTGAACGGAGCTTACAAAAAAGAATATTAAAACCAGAAGAGATCTTCAGGAGCTATGCTCTAGTCTTGATGGCTCATTTTTACAGATGAAGAAATAGCACCTAAATGGTCACCATCTAAAACATAAAACATGAGTTCCAACTTAAAAATAATAGAAAACCACTGGAACCTAGAAAGAAGGATAAGACACTGGTATAACTAGGTAAATTTTGCCAGTTTCTAGCGGAATGACTTTAGACAAATTACATTCCTCTGAATCTCAATTTCTGCCCCCTGTAAAATTGGGGATAGTGCCTTATCAATTTCTTTTTGTGCTCCTGTTCCTCCATCCCTTGGATAATATAATGTCGACAACACTTGTTTCCCAAAATCCCTTTGCAGTTGCTGATGGACTTTTAAACAAGCTGTTTATGTTCAGTGATCACCAAACCAAAACCAATCCTGCTGCGTCCAGTCAACTGGACTCATAGCGACCATACAGGACAGAGGAGAACTGCCCCATAGGGTTTCCAAGACTGTAAATCTCTACCGAAGCGAAGTGCCACAGCTTCCTCCCGCAGAGCGGCAGGTCGGTTAGTAGGCGAGCGGTTAACCACTGCGCCCCCAGGGATCCTTGATGACTATACAACTTCTTCCAAAAAGTTATGGGCCGGCTTTTCACGACTGCCATCTGGTGGCAAGAGACCTTAGCTACATGTACCATTCAGACAAGTAGCCTCCAGAGAGGGAGTTAATAAACTTCAATAACGGTACATAAAGTGAGAGTAAATGTCAAAGACAACTGAGGTAGGATGCATCGGGCATTGAGGCCAACACTCTTATCATGGTAGAATGTTGATAATTTCAACTAACCAAGTCAAAATAGCTACAGCCTTACTTAGAATTACTTATTAGCCCTGCACTCTCGCAAAAGGCTAACTTCCTGTTTGATGATTTTTGACCCCTTCGCATTTCTTTTTCAGCCTAGTGTGTTAATCATTTGTATCACCCAGGGCCTCCTTTCTTTTACTGAGTTCAAAATATCTTCGAAAATGGGATTTCACTGGCTAAAGTGATCGTTCTGGCCCAACCTCCTCTTTTTAATCTGAGAAAGCTAAGGCCGGGGAAGTTAAAGAACCAGTCCAGGTTCCCAAAACCTTTGGCGGCAGAGCCAGTCCTAGGACTCCGTGTCCTGACTCACATTCAAACACACCGCTCGCGTCCCCAGGTCAATGTGAGGACCCAGAGTCCCGAGGGCACATTCGCAGTCTTTTTCACTAGCATACTGGTAGCTAACTTTTGGGGAACGATGGGGCTGGAAAATCTCTGAGGCTGAGAGAGCAGAACTGGGCTTCCCTGGCCCCAAACCCAGGCATCTGACGCCTCTGCCTCACTACACACCGGCAACCGCGCTCCCTGCCACACAGTCTGGCCGGGCGCGTCACCCAGGAATCTTCACCCTCGTACCCTAGTCGGGCCTCCGCGTTCAACACTCACGCTCAGCCAGCATCGACATCTCGAAGAGTCCGTTATGCCGCAGGCTTTAGGACCTGAACGACTGCGGCGACTCCACCCCGGGCTGGGGGAGAAACGAGAATCGCGGGAGTCGCCACCCAGGCAGATGGCATCGGCGACAGGGCGCGTACTGGTGACGTCTGTGAAGTGCGACTCGCTCCTAGACCACGCGGAGAAGAGTAGGCGGGGCGCGAGCCATTTGGGATTGGAGTTGGGGGTGGGGCTGTCAGACAGGAGAGGGAGCTGAGGCGAAGGCCGCAGAGCCCAGTGAGGTTGGTGGTTTGGGGTCAAACAGAGGTGAAGAGGGGCGTATTCATTCAGTCACTTGAGCAAACATATTAAATAATTTGATATAAGTGAAGCTCTCATCAGAGCAGTGTTACTTCAATAACTATTACCTTAATAATCTTCGTCATTAATTCATCATTACTAAATGCCAAGCCAGGTGCTTATTGGAAATAAGACGTAAATTCTGCCCTCAAGGAGCGCACAGTCTAATGGGGAAAAGAAATATGTAAACAATTATCCTTAGGTTCTTCAGTGTTTTAATAACAGTGTGGACAAGGAGTTTGGGCAACTTGACTGGAGGGGAAGACTGCACTGTGGTGTACTATGTCTTTTAGTTCCCTGCTACTGCCCACTGAGTACATACACACGCACACACGCACGCACGCATGTACGCTTGCATGCACGCGCTGCACACATACAATAGATAAATGGTAGTGTAGAGAAAAACTCGGACGAAGTTTCAAGTTAAAACAGAGAGGTTTATTAAGGATTGGAGGAAGACTCATTAACAACCTGTGATATGCAATTGGTGAACTATGGAGCCCATTGAAAATGGAACCAGGTAGTCCTGGGGCAATTTCATTATGCAAGCATTCTTGTAAGGTAAAAAGAGGAACCAAACTATAGGGAGGGCAACTACAGGAAAATCAATCAATTTGTGCTAATCGCACTTTGATTGGTTACTGATTATTAATAGTATAATTAGTGACTGCAGATAATTTCACAGGATGCTTAAATCATGGTCACAAGATGCTTACATGTATTTTCTTTGTCTGTCTTGCAAAAATAAATCTTGTTGGCAACAGCAGTCAGCACTCTTCCTGAGTACCTGTATTTTGAGGGGTGCAGATGGTCACTTGGTTATGATGCCTCGGAGCATATGGTTTCACATCCTGGTTTTGACCACCAAGGAAAAACATGTTTTTCTGAAAAAAAGTAGCTGTTAGTCTAAAAATCCAGACTAAAATTAGATAGCATGGTCAGCATATTATGCCTCTGTCTTACTGACTACACTGAAAATCATCTTTTCCTGAGACCATTGATAGATAGATGATAGGTAGGTAGGTAGGTAGAGAGAGAGAGATGCTATATAATCAGATAGCTAATTCTGGTGACAATGTTGCCTCTTAAAATAGCATGATGCTGTCAACAAGACAAAGGTATTTTTGTTTTGTTTTTTTCCACCACTACAACATACACACTGGAATTTACCTTTATCATAGTCATCTCTGTATCCATACTAGCACCTAGCAAAATAATTTTGAATATGGCAGGGGTTCCATAGATGTTTGTGAAATTTAATTTACATGTCCCTCTGTTCCAATGTCTCCAGGGTTCTAACAATATCTTAGCAATGAAAATTTCATGCAGACAGTAAGGATGCGGTTTTGGACAAATGACTCTCTCGTGAACTTCAGGTGATAATACACACAGAAGCTTTCTACTCGTAAGTGAAGTAGAACACCACCAAAAGAATCTATGCCAAGGACTAGATTCCTGTTCTACATAAACTCACCTTTAACTAAGAATCTACAAAAATAAGGTAAACTTCTTTAATGTCATTTAAGTCAGAAAAAAAGAAACACAAAAGAATACTGCTTTCAGTGAATTAGATCAAGAGGCAGTTATTGGAACAGAAAAAGGGTATCTTAGTTGCCTAGTGCTACTATAACAGAAAGAGATGGCTTTACAAAGAGAAATTTATTTTCTCACAGTCTAGTAGGCTAGAAGTCCAAATTCAGGGCATCAACTCCAGGGGAAGCCTTTCTGTCTCTGTTGGCTCTGGAGGAAGGTCCTTCTCATCAATCCTTCCCTGGACTAGGAGCTTCTCTGCACAGCAACCCCGGTCCAAAGGACAGCTCTGCTCCCAGCACTGCTTTCTTGGTGGTATGAAGTCCCCCTATCTCTCTGCTCGCTTCTCTCTTTTATATCTCAAAAGAGATTGGCTCAAAACACAACCCAATCTTGTAGATTGAGTCCTGCCTCATTAACATAACTGCCACTTATCCCACTTGATTAACATCATAGAGATAGGATTTACAACACAGAGGAAAATCACATCAGATGACAAAATGGTGGACAATTACACCATATTGGGAATCATGGTTTAGCCAAATTGATACACATATTTTTGGGGGTCACAATTCAATCCATGACAAAGGGGATACTAGTTTAAAATCTGAAAAGGCTTGCATCAAGGGTGTATCCTTTCCCCATACTTATTCAATCTGTATGCTAAGCGAATAATCTGAGAAGTTGGACTATATGAAGTAGACGAGGCATCAGGATTGGAGGAAGACTCATTAACAACCTGCGATATGCCAATGACATAACCTTGCTTGCTGAAAGAGAAGAAGACTCAAGAAGATCAAAGACTACTGCCTTCAGTATGGATTATTGCTCAACATAAAGAAAACAAAATATTGAGTATGCTATGGACTACCAGAAGAACAAATGGATCTATCCTGGAAGAAGTACAGCCAGAACGCTCCTTAGAAGCGAGGATGGCGAAACTTCACCTCATGTACTTTGGACATGTCATCAGGAGGGACCAATCCCTGGAGAAGGACATCATGCTTGGTTAAAGTAGCGGGTCAGCAAAAAAGAGGAAGACCCTCGACAAGATGGGTTGACACAGTGGTTGCAACAATGGGCTGAAACATACCTACTATTTTGAGATGGCACAGGACCACACAGCATTTCCTTCTGTTACACATAGGGTCTGTTACACATAGGGTCACTATGATTCAGAACTGACTCGACGGCACCTAACAACAACAACAATCAGTGAATACCTGGGAGCTGAGAGGGATGGGGAGGTGCAGTCAATGGAATTTTCACAGCCAAGGCTGGAAGCAGGATAACAGTATTAAAATAGAGAGTTGGACTTGCACAAAATTAGGAAGGCAGGATCACTCAAGTCTTTCTCAGGATAATTAGCAGGCTGATTATACCAGAGAAAACAGAAGGTATAGAGCAGAGAGTAGTGAATTGATGAGGAAGTCATCATTTTTCAAGCACCACACATGTTGGTATATGACTTTAGGAAGAGAATTTTGTTTCTAGGATAATCAGAAAGATTGAGGCAGAAGTTTGGGATGCTGTTGCAGTGGTCCAGGTGATAGACAGTCAGAACTAGACTAAGACACCGAGCTGCAGGGACTGGCAAGGAATGATTGAGATGTCGTTGTGCATTGTGATATGGTGAGCTGTCTCTCCTGGAAATGTTGTCAGAGACACAAAGGAATGTTGTAGAAGGGACTCTGCATTTGAGGGAGGTTAGACTAATCATTTCCAAGATATGTTCCCACTCCAGCATTCCGTGTGTCAGTATCTATTTCTACAAATATATATAGATAGATATAGATAGAAAAATATAAGGATCATCTACTGAACAAAATATTGTTGGAGATTTTTTTTAAATGACAGAATCTTGTTTATATTTTCAAGTCATCAGCCTGGAGTGGAAACTGCACTTTTTATAAAAGAAGGTGATTCAGTAGAAAACATTTAGTCTTGTTCTTTAGTCTCTTGGCAGACCCCTTAGAGCAGTGCTTCTCAAATTTGTTAAACTCTTTCTGGAGGTTTGGGCCTTGGTAGGTCTGGAATGGGGCCAGAGATTCTTCATTTTTAATGCGTTCCCAAGTGATGTGGATGCTGATGACCCCTAGACCTTACTTTGCATAGAAAGGCATTAGACAACCAAAGTATGAATGAACTCAGGGTTAAAATGTACTCTTTAAAAAAATATATATATATCTATATATATATTTAGGAAAATGCTTTGTGAAGAACACCTTTAGATGGTAGTGACAAACTTTTTTGAAAATACTCAAAGAACTAAACTTAGAAGGTATTTGGATAAATTATCTGAGCTACTCCCCTTCCCTCAGACAGATGGTTGCTACTGCTTTTCTACAGCTCTCTGATGAATCTCAATCTCTCTCTCTTTACACACACACGGACACACACACACATACACTTATGAAATCTAGGAGTCCCTAGATGGTGCAAACAGTTAAACTACTAGACTGCTAACCAGCAGGTTGGAGGTTTGAGTCTACCCAGAGATGGCTCAGAAGAAAGACCTGGAAATCTACTTCTGGGAAATCAGCCACTGAAAACCCTAGGGGACATAGTTCTACTCTGACACACATGGGATCACCATGAGTTGGCGTCCATTCGACAGCAACTAGGTTTTTTTCCCACACATCCTGAACAATTGTAAAAAGGGGTTATCATATATTGCATTACATCTTTATGTTATTTTTCAGATATATAACTAAAACTTTATTTATAAAAGGAATAGAGCTGGATCGTACCAGCTAAACTTTCCTTATTTCTAAGAGGCAGCAGCTTGATACTATGCAAAAAAGGCTACCAGAGAACTAAACAGAGTCAAAATTCTGCTATTAAGTTGGGGTGTGACCTTGGGCAAGTCATTTCACTTCTTTTTATATCAGCATTGCAATCTATGCAAAAAGGGAGTTAGATGATCTCTGAGAGAATTATTTTAATCAGAAAAACATAACTCTGTGATATGAACACTAAAGGAAGTATAATAGCGTAATAGTTAAGAGCTTGGATTCTGAAGCCAGACTTCCTGGATTCAAATCTTAGTTCTGTCACTTATAGCTTTGCTAACCTACTAGGTGTCTTGGGCAAATTACTTCAAGTCTCTGTGCTGCTGTACCTCATCTGTACAATAGGGATAATACTACATTCTTTGTAAAGTTGTTATGGGGAGTAATAAGATGATGCATGTTAAGTGCTTAGAACAGAGTTTGGAACATAGAAAGCACTCAATAGCTATTATAA